AGCCAAAATCGTATTTTTGAATAGCTAATAGATCATTATGGCTCATAATATGAGATTCAGGTTTTTCCTTATTTTAAAAGCTCACCAATGAATTTTATTATGGAGGTATAGATCTGAATACGTTTTAAAAAGGAGAAAAATCCTGTTTTTATTGTTAACTATACATAGAACATGTTTAATTATGTTTGGGATCTTGGTAATGATTTCTAAATGTGTAAGCTTCAGGGCAGCGTCTGCCCTCTGCGCGGTCGATCGCGGCGGTCGACCGCGACGTTCTGTCGGTCGACCGATATGCCTAGAGGTCGACCGCCAGACTCGTATCAGAGTGCGGTCGACCGAGTCGGTCGACCGACGCGCTGTCTGTTGCAAAAATTCCTGTTTTGGTGTATTTTGAGTATTTTACTCATGTTCGATAGTTTGCCTGGATAATCTGACCTTGGCATTTAGTCTCACTATGTATCCATGCATGATAGATGACCTGAGGGTATAAATTGGGGACTTATACACTGATTTGAGTGTGGATTGATATAAGTAGATTTCACTATATATCACAGTGATAATTTCACTATCTCACAGTCCTCGTGTTGGACTATAATCCATAGAAGTCCTCGTGTTGGACTATAATCCATTTCAGTCCTCGTGTTGGACATTTGCCACTTATTCTATGAGTTTGGAAACCACAATATACAATTCCTGTTTCGGACCTAGTTCTTAACCCTGAATATGACTTTCTCACAGAAGATCACGACATGATGGTTATGTAGATTTTGACATGACACTTATGTAAACTTTAACATGATATTCATGTAGGCTATGATATGGCACTGCACTATTGTTCTGAGATTTGTGTATTTCTTTTATTATTATTCCTGTACTAGAACCTCGGGTTTGGTAATTAGGGGTTTACAATTTGAGATATAAGGTATATACATGAGGGTTTCCTTGTTTGGATTATTTCGCTCGACGTACCTATTCTCGCGTTGTAAATTTCTAAATACTAAAACCCTCTTTTGTGAGATCAATGATTTTAGATCTACTATGTATTAACTATATTTTCTTATATAACGAGCCCTATTCCCTTGGGGTTGGTTGTGATGTTGCTCGCTAGCGCTTTGACGCTCGTTGTCCCTCCCCCTTTCAGGTAACGAGCCAGGAGCCCGGAGAGTCGCAGGTTGATGGCGACACACTTTAGTGTTCAGCTGTCTATTTTAGCTATGTTATTTTGGAGCTCCACTGTAGTTTTTGGTTTAGACATTTGAGAGTCTTGTTCTAGAAGTTGTAAAGGCTGTGTGCCTTATTTCCTCTTGTCAGACATTTGTATTTGAGACGTATTGAGTATTCCAGTTATCTATTCAGACATTGACTATGTATTGCTGTATGTTGGATGATGAGATATTTATGTGATTTCATTTCATCAGTATTTCTTGTGTTATCTTTCATTTGCTTTTGTACCTACACCTGTTGTTCATTCTACTAGATAGATGTTAATTGTGATGGTGAAACATGTTATTGCACGGTGTGGTGCATGGCAGGTTTGACATTCTTGGTTTCACCTTGGACTGCAGCCTTGTGTGAACCTAGGGGCGTCACAGTTGGTATCAGAGCTCCAGTTCCAGTATCCTTAGGATCATCCTGTGTCGAGTCGTGGAGCTAGGATAGAGTTTCTTAGGATTTATGTATAGAGTCCGCTAAGGATTTCCTAGTATGAGTGAGGACGATATATGCGTATATCTCAAAATTTGAGAAATTTTTTTTTATATTATGACAACTATTTGGTGTAAATGCAAAGTATTTGTGTGAATACTATATGTTGTGAAAATTTTAATGTGATACGTTATTTATAAAGGTCTGTTTTGACTCATAAACTTTATTTTTCTTATCACCAGAGAGAGATAGATGGCAGGACGTGGTAAACCTCGTACCAGGTTACATATCCTCATGCACTTCTCAACCCATGTGAATGTGGTCCCCCATTTGAATGAGTATAGGGGATTGTGTCACCTCACTACTAAGTACAAAATTTGTGCTGGGTACCAAGCATACCCATATTTCTCTCTCTCTCTCTCTCTCTCTCTCTCTATATATATATATATATATATATATATATATATATATATATATATATATATATA